CGGCTCCTGCTGCCGCCGCCGCCGCCGCCGCGGCCGCAGCCACGCACACCTCCAGTGTCCAAACGCGGCGGGGACGGGCGACGACAGCGCGCGCGCGGGGTCCCCAGCCCAGCCTGGACAGTCTTTGGGGAGCAAAGGAAGAAGCCGAGCGCTGGCTCTCCCCCTTCTCCCACGCAGCCCTGGACCGCCGAGCTTGGCTCCCGGATGGCGGCGACGATCCGCCGAGCTCGCCTCCTCTCCTGCCGGAGGCGCTCCGAGCTGCTGCGGGCTCTGGTCGCCGCCGCCGCCGCTGTCGCCGCCGCCGCCGCGCGGGGTCACCTGAAGGTTGGGGCTCGGGAGCTCGACTCCGTGCTGATTGGGCTCCAACTTTTCTGCGCTTTCACCTTCTGTGAGTGCCCGCGTGCTCTCCTCCGAAGCCCACGCAGCCCACGCGGGCACAGCACGGCCTGCATCCCTGCGGTGGAGCGCAAGGACTCGGAGGGGCGGAGGAGGAGAGATGAAAGGGCCCACTTCAAAAACTTTTACAACTGTGGAGTCGCTCTGCTGGATCGCAGAAAGGCTGCCAGGGACTTGGAAGTTGGGTGGATCACAGTACGGAATAGCAATAACGTCCCCTGGCTTAAACGCTGGTTGAGAGGCACAGCGAATCGATTCCCAGGGGTCATGCAATCTTTACGGGTCCGCGAACTACCCCCTGCGAGCCAAATTCGGCCCCTGCCCGTTTTCCTAAACCGTTTTATTGGAACACCTCCATGCCCATTCTTTGCATTTGCAATGGCTATATATGGCTGTATCATGCATGACTGCTTTTATGGTACCAGGGCAGAGTTGAGCCCTGGTGACAAAGATCGTATGGCCCACAAAGCCGAAAATATTTACTATCTGTTCCTTTTCAGAAAAAGTTGGCAGACTCTTGGTCTAAATCATATTGGGCTATATGTTATTGGTTAGTATGTCATTTATTGCAGGAGAGTGATCTGATGACAATGTGAAATAGTTTGGCTCATCAATTACTGATTTGGGAGTGGGCCTCTCTTTCAGCCGGAAGCTGTCCTGTCCACACGTGGTCCAGGGACTGCCCAGGACCCCACTGGACAACCTCCTTAAGTTTTGCCCTTGACTCTGGTGCCCTGAGGAACATCAATAAACCGTAAAACCCATAATGGTTATATGGGGGCTCATTAGACTATTCAATCCACTTTTCTATATATTTGAGATTTTTCCAGAAGGAATTCTTGGACTCTACCGTCTTGTGAGTTCCTTGCTAAAGGTACTTTGAAAGGCTTTAATGAGTTAACTTTCCCGAGTATCAAAAATATTTATATTTCAACTGGAGTCTCCTAGAGACATGCCTAGGTCTTAACCTGAAAGACCAGTGTGAGAGCCTTTTGGGGAGCAAATGGGCCAGGCAGCTCATAAAGCTGTTGCCAGTGGTTTTGTCACCTGAGAAATAACTACATATATCAAGAAGAGAAATACAAGGCTGCCTAGTTCCTTTCTGCTAATTCATCACTTAATTAAAAATATTTAGTTGATAACTAACCAGAACTTTGCACATAGTAGTGGATCAATAAATGTCTGGTCAATGAATAAAACACCTCGGAACCAATGCTATTCTTAAAGAGAAAAAGGTGTAAAAAACAGAAAATAAATGTGACTGGAAATATGATTTCCTTCCATAGCTCATTACTGCTGTTAAAGTATGTACTAATCAATAAAGAAAATTTGCTACTTTTATGCAAGACTGACATTTTTAGGAATCCAGCTGCTTATCTTAGCACGATAAAGTAATGCTGTATTCAGATAGTGCTAAAATAATAAAGTCATCCAATTCTACGTGCTTGAAAGTTTAAACATTCTGTTAGATAAGTAGGATATGGCACAATTATCTTGAAAATAAAAAAGTTGTCTGGATTTGGAAGATAGTCTAAATTTTATTTCTCTTAGAGCAAAAGACTTGTACAGACAACTCAGGATGAAGATGGTTTGCAGAAAAAGAAAAAGGCATTATTGTATCAGTCAGGAACCTGCAATTTCACCTAATTTACTGAAGTTTAATATTTCAGCACAGCTGGGCTTAAGGCGACAGCAGAAGAGGCAGGCTTGCACTGGGCTTCCTAAACACCGTTGCCACAAATGAAGTTACTTTTTATCAAGCCAATGGCTATCAGCAGGTGACTCACAAAATCCCATTTTAATTGGAAAACCAAGTGTAAATTTGCAATGGGAATTCTGAACCAAGTGTTAAAATTTGATAGTAGAGAACTTCACCACAAGCTTTGAAATTGAAGACTTGGGTAGGTAAAATATGAATTATCTTTCTTATCCTTGAGAGATAAAAGCACCTGACAAAACATGATTCCTTAAATATTATCAGGCATAGAACCAATACTGGAACACTGTGCATTTGTTAACTTAACATTAGCAAGTTTGACCAGAAACCCCAAAAATCTATGCCATGAAATAATTTAAGATACTGCCAAGGCCCAGAATGGAAACAGAAACTCAGGCCAACATGCAGAAGCCCAAGTTGGTGCATGAACTTACCTCACTCAGCCAGGCTGCTCAGCATTCGCCTCTCCTTTCACCTTTGTTAGTCATTATTCATTATCACAAATGCCCTTACTTTCGTAAAATAACAAAAAATGATTGCAAAGTTTTGATATATAAAAAATGTCCAAGGAATTGAAAATCTTTCTGGAAGATGCGGTTTCTCATTTTCATGTAAGTTTTTAAACTTTTCCATAGGCACGGATTTGGGGATTCATGAAGAAGAATCCCAAATATCAAGTGTCTGCTATATGCACTGGTATACACCAGTGAGAACCCTCTATAGCGGGAAAGAAAGAAGCACTGTGAGAAACACAGAAAATTGATGCACCAAAGAGTCTTTTCTTTCCTTTGGGTGACATTTTTCTCTCTCTGTCTAGAAAGGATGGTTTCTGATGTCTTCAGGCTGCTTGATTGGTTTTAGCAATATTAAAGATTTGTGAGGACTGCAGGACAATAGCGCATTCATAAATATTAAACTATTCCTTGGGGGAAGAAATTCATAAGGACAGTACAACCAAGGTTACATATTTTCAGTAAATCATAGGATATAAATAAAAGTAGAAATAATGTCAAGAAATCAACAACTTTGTATGTGGAGAGCTATGCTTTCAAATATATTTTATTACAGATTTTGGCTACTGCTAATTGAATATAAAAAAAAAATCGAAGCAACTCCATTTTAACTTTAAAGATAGAACACCTAGGATCATATACAAACTCCATATAGGTGTTATATATATATATAAGAAATCCAATTTGTAGTATAACTAAAATTACAGAACAAAAAAATAAGTTATTAGTCACAGTATGAAATCGATTTTTAATGTATAAAACGTTTAATCTTCTGAAACTGCTCTCCCTGAAGTCCACTTAAAAGATCATAAAAGACCAAAGAGAGAAATGGAAGCTATAAAATAGTCACAGTCCCATTCCACTGACTCCCAAGAATGCCCACTAAAGGTGAACCAATTGGACAAGAATGTCAAGTTCAAGACCTATCTCCCCTATATATGACCTTCGATTTATTGGGGGGGAAAATGGAAAAGTTTTTGAAGGTCCTACTGATACTTAATTTGGAAGAGCAAAGGCTGGGAGCAGGTCACAACAAAAATGAGTAGCCATCAGTGTGAATGGCCAGGGCCACAGAGTTCAAAGGGAGATGGTGATCAATATTTCTGTTTTCAGTGAATTCCGCTTTCTAGCCAGAGGAGTGATAGCCTAGAGACAATGCTAATCTTGAAGAGAGATGGTATAAGAGAATTTTGTAGCTACTGATTAAAGTCAGTTTATCAAAGAAAAATGAGCACATATTCTACATAGTCGATGAACAAAAGATTCTTCAGCCATTGGTTTTACACTGAATTGGCCTCTCCAGAGTATCCTGCCTAATTCCAGAGTTTGCAAGACTGGGCAGAACTCCAGTTGCTTCAACAGTTTGGGGGGTGGGAACTGTGTGTGCAGAGATAATATACCCAAACCTACCATATTTCTTTCCTCAACTTCTCTTCCCCACCCCTTCATTCCATACAACCTAAACCAGAAGCAGATAAATAACTAGACAAAAAATATCCAATAGCAAGTCCTTAAGGCAAAACTAAGTTTCAATAAGTGAGCAAATACTAAGGACTGACAGAAATTTTCTATTGACAATATTCCTGGCAAGTAGCAGAAAGAAACAGGCATGACTCCTTTCAAGATGAGTAAACAGAAAAAAAATT